GTGTGACAGGGTGATGTTTGTTTTGTTTTCGCTTGCTCGCGCCGCCCTGCTGGCACAGTGTGTTGGAGTTGATGTTTGGTGTGAGGAACAGTGGAGGTGTTGGTGTCGGATTAACAAAGCAAAGCTTCCGCTGCACTCTGCGCGGAGGGATGAAGTCCAGGCTGTAAAGGATTGGCGCAGCGCCACAACATGTAAACCCAAGACGGTTCGAAAAAGAGCCAAGAGAACCGTTTTTACATTGGCTCGTCGCCACAGACTGCGTAGAGGCGGTGTCAAATGACATTCGACTTTTTGCAACCAGAAAAATGTTCATTGCGTCAGCTGACAGACAAGATGTCACGGTTGTAGATTTTAAACTGAGCGTATATATGGATGGAGATTCAGGCATACGCGTAGTCGCATAGAGATGTGTTTGTGGCGTATGAAAGAGATAAAGGAACAGTGAATAGTGTGAACCTCTGTGCTATTGTGGATTGAACGCGTGCGTGATGGTGAAACTGAGCAACCTGGTGTAACTGCACCTTTTGTGATGTCGAGTTCCCTTGCCCCACTATAGGCTGTTAGCAGGTTCGGTGAGGTCATCTTGAAAAATCTTGAGGGAAGTGCTGTCACGCTTCGGAACCTGCCTACCTTGTGGAGATCTGAAGTCTTGGGACGTGTACGCGAGCGTACAACAAACGGTGATTTGCTTGCAATGATTTGTTTCAATCGGTTGGTTGGATCTACTGGTCATGAGTTCAGCCAAGTAGGGTTGCTCTTGGAATAGGGCAACGTTTGTTGGCGGATCTTCCGCCACGGGTTTAGTGCTTTGTTGTGTCCTTTTCTCTTTTTGATCCGCCCGCACTCTCCTTTATGAAGGGGTCTTCATTCGTTGCGACCTTTTTGGTTAAATTTTGGGGTGGTAGGTTTCTTCTTTGAGCCACCCTTGCACGGCTGGTTTGCTGCGCTGGTCCCGGTCTCCTTTCTTCCCGTACCAGGGTTGTGAGTTAACAAGTGGTGCATCTGGCATGCATGGGTTTTGTTTCTGGTGATGTGATTTCTCTTTCCAATTTATTTTGGTTCATCACCTTTCATTGCTAAGCGCATCCCGACTACTATTACTACTATTTGTTGTTTTAAGGTAGTGTTGACATGGTAGACTGATTCGAAAAATTTCGGGGACAGCAAATAGTATTTGTTACAAAAAGGATAATTTAGCTTTTTCTATATTTCTTGCAGATGGTGGAGTTATAGTTAGGTTTCACTGCGTGCCATATCATATGTGTGTAGGATGGACGTGCACAGCGCTAATACGCAAAACTTGATTGCTGGCTGGACGTTTTTTCTGGTAGACAACAAAAGACTAATGTGCTAAATGCGCTAAATAGTTTTCATATGCTGCTGTATTCTGACTGACTAAGACGAAAAACAATAGACGAGAGACCGAGAGACTAAACGAAACGCTTCACCATGCATGTCGATGTGAACTGTTGGCTATAGTTTTTCCTTTTTTCCCCATGGGTGCGCGGAAGTGTCGTGGGTTTCAATGGGTTTCAATGTCACAAAAGTCATCCGTTCAAAAGGCAATAAAGGACAGATGTTTCATTGTTGACTGCAATGTTCTATGTTTACGGTTGCTCCGCTTTTCACCCCTTGGCCCTTTGCCATGGCGCGCAGAGAGCGGCGCGCCAAGCGGATGGCAGATTGGTATGGACTTGCCGTGGAAGGCCTATACCCGGGTTTGACGGCGAATCGAGTCCTTCCGGGCATGTCCAAAAAGTAGTTGTGAGCCATATGGGAGATGATCGAAAACCCAGCGTAAGGAGTTTAATATAAAACAGCCTTTTAGATGTTGTTAAAACCCTCCGCGAAAGCTTCGCGATGAGGTTCGCGAAAGTACATGTTTTTCGCGAAAGATTTATCGAAGGTTCTGGTTTTAATATTGGTTCTCCTTTTATGGCCCACTGGATAAAAAGCTTCTACGTAGAACTTTACTTGGTTTCAGTTTGTTTTGGGATGTCAATGTGTAGTGTAGCGTATGTTTGTGGGATTCCTGTATTATGTGTCATAGATCACAGATGTGTATAGTTGTCAGAGGCATTTGTGCTTGAAGCAATCTAGCCACAGAGATGGCGCCAAATACAGCCAAAGTGCAATCACCTGGCTGAGCCAGTTTGAGCCAATGGGGAAATCATTAATGATTTTTCGCGAAAGATCCGCGAAAGTTTCACGAATGTGCCGATAAAGTTCTGCCTACCAAACTTGACCCCACCCCCATACCCCAACGACCTGGAATAGGGATGTGGGGCTGCTGGTCTGTCAGCTTTGGATGACGGCTGTATCAAAGTGGTGCAGGATTTCTTCTTCCGCCCACCGTATCTCTATATATAAATATACATGACTCTCTGACTCACCCAAAACATGTTAAGTAACCAACCTCTCTTGAGGAACATGCTTCGCGATGAGGTCGCGAAAGATCCGCGAAAGATATCTGCTTTTTCGCGATGAATGGCCATTCCAGGATGAAAGAATATTGATCAAACATCATATGTTGTAGACAAGAAGGTACAGCGGAACATTATATGGCATATTCATACCCAAAGATGCGCCACCGGCATGACAGGTGAGCGCGGCGCTGCGGCAAAGAAGCAGTGTGTTGCGCGAGCCGAAGAGGCCCGGCTCTCATGCTGAGCGTTCAGCTGTGCGCAAGGGTACGGATTGAAATAGGACAGAACAAACTACACAGTGCACATTCTGAGAACAGTTAGCACAGCAACGACGCCACGACATGTGTCATGAGGGAACTTTACGAAATCTTCATGGCTGCAGGTCGCTGAGAAGCTTCCTCCAGGCGGATTACGCCGAAGCGCTCCGCGCCGTTTTTTTCGAATCATGTTTGATTGTCGTGATGCGAGACACTTCGGCTATTAGTGAATGAGTGACACAAACGCATTAGCCGTTGACAAGTTGACACATTGACAAGTGATCTACCAATCACAGATCATCGCCAGGTCGGTTTGCCTATAGGCTGCATTAGGTTTTCCTTGATCCGATTGAATGCGGAAAGCTTGGCACAGGAGCTGCGAAAGGTCTGCAAAATGCAGCGCCTTCAGGTGAGGAGTGGGGAGACGGTCGATGACAGGGCCACTACCCATATCAAGAGGTGTTTTCCTCACATAAACACTAAAATCAATTTACTGCTTAGTTCCTTACTTTTCACATACCATGGCATGGCTTCTTCAGTTGTCTCCTGGAAACGAATGGGAAAGTTTCTCGGATCGACTGTCTTTTCGTGGCTCAGGCCCGGAAGGCATTGATCCAATAACCATGGAGCGGCTTCTGTGGGGATCTGAAGTGAAACATAGAGACTGACAGTGAAGCACTTCAAGAAACATACCCTGTGAACTTTAATCCAATTTGATTCTCAGAGATTAGATTTTGGTCGAGGGCAGTCGGTGAGTTGTAATACAGCGTCCATCCAGATGGTTCCCCCTTAATTTCTATGATAGACTTCCATGCAGATGGTCGCCCCTTGAACCAAAAGCAATGTTTCGGTGGATTGTGAACGTCCGCTTTCGATCTTCCCGGTCGGATGGATATGTGGTCGTCACTGAGGAGCCAGGTGCAAAAAGGTGGTCCTTCGGTACAAAACGAAGCGCTCGTCGCAGTGACAGGCCACTGGAACGGCGTAGAGTTATGAAGACACAGATGTAATGATATTTGAGATGTATAGAAGGTATCAGACTTTTCTTTTTTCACATGTTCTCCAGAGAGCTGGTTGAAAGGTTTTGATCAGAATCCTTTTGATGAAGGACTTCTTTTGACAGACTTGGAAGTGCATTGTTTGTTTTGTGTTTTTAACCATCGGATGTTTGCGATGTCCCAGGCCTTCCGCCACAGCATGCGGCAAAGCTCTTGGAGTTTGCCCTTGAGAAGTCCAAGGACACCCGCTTCGTCGAATCGGGGATCTGGCGAGGTGGAGGTGAAGAGTCGAAGCAGAACAGTAAGCTTAGATAAAGGATCTTAGCCAAGTATCATTGTCCTGCGAAGGTCTGCGGAGTGTGAAGAAGAGTAAACACAACAAAAGCAAACAAACTCTTCAAAAGCCATGCAAACTGTCAAAGCATCAACAATATACGTGCTATTCATGCTTATTCTTTTTTGTAAGTCATGGTATGTGGTTGCCCCATCCAGGAGCTACGGGACCCGTCGATGTATATGGTGTCCACGGTGGCAAGGCCAGTGCGTCGTTGGGGAGACAATGCTTTCGTGACCCGTCGGATTGTATTCCGGGTGCAGAAAGGTGAGTCGGGCGACGAAATCCATACTCCGGTGGTGTAGGACGCCGCTCCAAAGAGAAACTAGAACTATGGTGCCGAGCGAACATAGAAACATATGATTTGTTGAGCTTACGAAAGCTGATGCTTCAACAAAAACGTACATAGGTTTGTGCTCTGGCTTGTGTTTTGCGCTTGTTAGTTTCACAATCCATGTGGAGCAGAGTCTGATTCTAGCCACCAAAAAGAACATGTATTGCTTTGCAAGAGTGGCTCTTTCTTTACAGTTTACCTGCGTAGACCATTTACATCCGCACCACCTGGCAGGGGCTTCAAGCCCAGATGGCACGCCAGGGTCTCAGATTTGGCAGAATTGCGGGCAAGTTACGGAGTTGCAGGAACTTTTGTTTAACGCTCAAATCAACATATTTCTGGCGGCCCGACATGGACAAACAATTCAATCAATGCGCCCTGGGCGTTTCAGAGTTGCACGCTGAGGAAATGGTGGAGGCCTCTGTCCCTTCCAAAGGATGGTTCGACGCGTTGCAAAGACGCAAGGATGATTGGCATGCGAAAATGACGGAGACATTCTTTTAACTCTTTCAACCGTATGATCACGTGGCTTTTGGGAGCCTCATTTGTTTTGGCACGAAGCCACTCATGAATTGAATTCACCAAACACTATGTTCATATCTGCGCGGGAATCAATCCGGTTGATGGTTATCGAAAAGATTTTTCAATCGGTACCTTTGTGAGGAAAAGGCGTACAACTTGAGCTGGCGCAAGATCGAAAGCCGCAGCCTGGCTTGAACGCAAAAGCGGCCGTACTCTTTTGAAAAGCGTAACAAGCTTTTGAACGTCATGCCAACCGTTCTAGGCTTCGGGAACCATCAGCCATCAGCGCTTGTATCCAAGGCACAAAGCCAGGAGTGTTCTACTGGGAGAATTTTCACACAGGCCAGAGATCAGTGGACGACGCTTTGGCTGATTCATTAGTTGCAACGCATGCTTTCCAATATACATGTGCAATAATTGAACAATGAAAAACAATGAGAAACCGATCTAAGGACCCGCGACGTCCGGTTTCTCCTTCCCCTGTGCGTGGTGGCATGGGCAAATGAGACCTGTGCGCGCTAGTGAGAAATGTGCCGGTGCTTTTCATCCGCAACGAAATGTTACCAAAAGGTCCCTGCCACATATATATATACACAAGGTACCCCCCCTTCCAATACCCACCCAATGTGTGTTTTTTACTGTAAATTATAGTGTTTTTGTGTTTTTTATTGGATAATTTGTTTAGGTTACTGCATATTTGGGGTCAATTTTCAAAATGGTTGTGACACACACTTTCCATATGGCGGGGTACCATACACACACACACATATATATATATATATAAAATGGGTATAGAAAGAAAGACAATTAAGACTGCAGTACTTAGAGTGGATTGAGGATGGAGAAAGTACGCCATGGTACGCTTACCTTCTGGATTGAAGATTGAAGATTCTGCCAGGACTTTGGGTGGAATCTTCAATCTTTAATCTTCAATCCAGAAGGTACACGTACCATGGCGTACTTTTCTCTTTGCAGTGCTTTCTAAGTCAGTTTGATTGGCAGATTTCCGTGTCCGCTTGCCCTTCCAAATATCGAGAGTATTTTGTGTTGACTCTAAGACAAGGTATGGCAAAACAAGATTGATGTCTCTTAATGCTGTGCAATCTTGCTTCTCACTTCTTGCTTTTTGGTGTGCTTAACAGTGCTTAACGAAACTGTACACATTGGTTTTCTTTACTGATGTTTATGTTTATTTTCCTAAACAAGTTTGAGGTTCCAATGTTTTTGTTACTGTATAACTAAATTTGTGGCCATGTAAACTGATTGATTTTACTTCTTTGTCCACTCTTTTGGGTACTTCAGCTTTTTCATTTTTGAGTAAATAATATATACTATTTTTTCAAGAGAAAAATCATTGACATATATTCAAACAAACATCCATTTATGGAAATGAGTACACCAAGTATGACAATATTACTCTAAATCAAACTATTTTTCTGAAGTTAAATTATCTGAACTTAAGTTAAATACACCATAGCTCTAATAGTCAAGCATTATTAGACTTATGTTTTATCTTTGATGCTAGGAAGAGACATTTAAAGGATTGTTGGCCATAGGTATTAGGTATATATATGTATCAACGCAAACAATGAATGGAAGGTAAGAATCGTAACAGTACCTGTTCTGCTTGCAATTGTTCTTTGAGCCAAGGGCACTATCAAGTGCATTTCAAATCAACGAAACATAGCAGAATTCCGAGCACAAGCTAGCTTTTAAAGTTTCACTACATAGTTTTTGTGAAATTATATCAGGAGAAGCAATCAACAGGTTGGGTGAGCAGGTTGAGGTGAGAATGACCCAGATGAGATCATGAAGACACCAGCATCCAAAAAGATGAAGACACCAGCACCAGCTGGAAGGATTTCATGCAGATGGCATGCGAAAAGGGTGGGTCAGAAGATCAGTTTCACCATGGATCAGGTTCACTATGGTAGGGCGATGTGGGATACTAACTGGAAAGAAACTAATTAAGCAACATAATATACTATATAGTTTACCAATAGACCATATGTATAATTTTATGGGAGCAAAGGGGTTTGATTAATAGGGGAAGGTTCTGCCAAGAGCAAAATTATTAGAGGGAGGCCAATGCGGAACTTAGGTTTTAAATTAGTTTCGCGTTTGGGGCTCGAGATGGGTTTGATTGCCGGTGGCTTCTTAATCCCATGTTAAAATTTTGCCAAAGGGAGCCATTTGTGATTCTCAGTGGGTATTGGTGGGGGGTAGCAAAAAAAAGAATTGTAATATAAGTTAAATACGGATCTTCGCTCCATCAAAAGGAATCAATCCATCTTCCCAACATCCGCCGTGGATGGGATGGATCCACTTGCTGAGCCTGAAAGTGCCAGGTGGGAACCTTGCGGCCTGGTGCAGATGGAAGCCATGCGCTTGGGCACGCTGCCGATTGTGGCACCCACCGGTGGTCTCAAAGACACCGTAGAGGAGAGATGTGTGGGGCATGGACACCATGGGGGGGTGGAGCTCCAAAGTGTGTGCGATCATAGGATTTATATGGATTTATCATAGTTTTTGTTGTTCTTCCATAGGGATTGCTGTTTGGACAAAGTCTGGTCATGGTGTCACTGAGTTTCAAAAGGGTGTTTTTTCCACGGCCGAAAGGGCCATAGAGTCGGGTCCTGTTTCCTTCCAAGCCAGGGTTCCCAGATGATCTAGGCCACGATAGCTGGTCACCAGTGGATACAAAGACTCAAACCCATAGACCACGTGGCTGCCCCGTTCGCAGGATGGTGTGAACGGCCTTTGGACCGAGAAGGAGATGACAGTGGAGGCGGTCATTGAGGAGGCGCCAGTCCGTGGGGAATTCAAAACTAGTGGAAATGGAATGGTCGGGTGTGTATGTTTTTGTTTTTCGTTGGTTGTTGGCTTTCTTTTGCTTTGGGTTTGGCTGGTTGTTGGTTCTTTTTCGACCCACCTAGCATCTTTGTTATCCTTATACCTCAGTGAACCAACAGAAGAACAGGTTCCTTGCTGTCCGATCGTCCTTCGATCGCCCACATCGGCACGGTCAAAACTGGGCTGTGCAGTTGCCCCTGCTATGTTGGTTCTTCCCCCTTCATTTTTTCTCTGCGAACTGGAAAAGGCCACCATTCCAGAAAACCGGACAACATATGACGACACATAAGCTCGAATGTTGAGTGGACAAGTGTCGGCGACCAAGTGGATGATCCCCTATCGGAAACTTCTGGAACCAAAACAACTCGCAATTGCACCCATTTCAGTAGGCCCTCCGCCCCCAAAAAACCGGCACGGAAGGGGGCCCCAGGGGTCTTTTAGGGGGCTCCCCCGAATCGTCGGTCCTTCTGTACTCCGCCCGCGCGAGTGAGCGTGCAAGTGCAGGAGTCGGTGAGCGCCATCTCCCAGGCGCTGCGGCGGGCGGCAAAGCTCTTCACCGAGGAACCGGCCAAGGTGGGCGGCCGATGTGGAGGTCCATAGGAGGTTTCGGTGAAGTCGTGCCCAAGATCGTGGGAATGAGGTAAGCTGAAAGCACCAGGACAGTCGAAAGCTCTATGTCAGATGATGCTTCAAGATGGATGTTCTTTGTTGTTGTTGACGGCTGGCTGATGAATAAACCCCCCAAATATGTTGATGTAGAACCATCCTGGCAGGGGTGTCAACTGATTCAGGCGCACCAGAACTGCCTTCCTTCTGATGATCCGATTCCTCTAGGTGGTGAAGATGAAGCAGGCAGCCATGGCCGCCGCTGCGGAATTCACCTGGAGCAACGCGGCGCTGCAGTACGAGGCCATCTTCCAGGA